AAAGTGTCCCACTGCACGTCCTACATCGCACACCACGCGCTGCAACTCGTCCGCCGACTCTGCCTTCTTGCCGCGCGACGGGCCTCCTGGGGGTACCCCTAATCTTTGTATTTGGACGAGTTACGTCGCGCACACCGAATGACACGCAACGTGGATTACGGCGTAGTGGCTAATTCAAGTACGCGCGGAGAGCAGGCAAGTTCGTACAACTCGTCTGGCCCCGCCCCTTCCTTATTTCAAGGGGAATCCTTGTTCAGGGCTTCATCGACGGTTTTCTTTGCTTTTTCTTTTTTGGTCAACTCGGCATCCACAACTCCATTATCGACCGCTGAATTACAATTTCGATCGGGGGAGGGGGGGGGGTGTTGCTTCGAAATCATTTCGAATGGGGAAGGAACCCCTCGTTCAAATTAATAGTGATCACCAAATAAGTAGGAGAATAATGAGTAAACGGCCTTTAGGACGCATCCGAAATGTTCAGCGAAACGTCGACAGTCCCTTGGGCAGTACTGCGTCAGGCGATACAGAACTATGTGAAAGCACAGATAGTCCAAGCACGGAGCCTTCAATATCATGAGGTCTGCCACATACAGTGCATGATCTTGCTTCCACGGTTGGTGAACAGTTCTAATCAATCAGTCCTTCATAAGTTTGAATTTTTCAATAATTTCTCACGAGCATTCCAGGGTGATTCGCTGTAAAACTGCGGAGGAACTGGATTCGTTAGAACGCGAGCTTTACGGAAACGTCAAAGGATCATCCACGAGGAGCCGGTGCACTGAAATCAGGGACCGACTGCTAACTGAACAAGTTCTTGCAGCAACCCTGATAGAAAGGAGAGAGCTCATGGTGGTGAGCAGCTTCGAATTCACTTCTTGCTAACAGACCTTAGGGTAACGGAGCTCTTGAGCGCGGGCCTTGAGCAGGAATTTATGATAAAGTTAATCTGCTCTGATGATAATCAAATCGGTGTGAATTTGGCGCGAAAGTTAAGTGCAAATCGAATCTTCAATGAAAATGAAGGAGAAAAACCGGTCTTTTAAAATGAGACACTGAGCAGCGGGTAGAGAGCACAGGCGAGATGATCGCCGGTCACCGGCAGCAGAAGCGCCGTCACAGGACTCTGGCGTTCTTTTGGGCAGCTGTATGTCCTTTAGCTAAAACAAAGTTCATCACGAGGTGGGCTTTTGATTAAATCACTACGCTCCCAGGAGTCGCTGCGAACCTGGTTTTCTGATGAAAAGAGGGTAGGGGGTAATAAGCGTTCCAGTTGGGGTGGAGAGGGGGGGCTTTTGTCAGAGGGGTTTTTTCGCACCGAATATGGATGGATTGGACAAATCGATAGCATAATTGCGCGTTAAAATTGACGCCCTCTTCTCCTCGCCTCTTCGCTACCCAATGCATGAAGGTTTGTGAGAAATGTTAACGGAGTGGGATGGAGTAGGGCAGGTTGTGCTCAAATCAAATACATGGAGATAGCCTGGTGCGAGGAATCACTCAAAGTATTGGGGTTAGGGCAGGCTGTTCTAGGTTACCTTTCAAAAATTACGACCCGCTCCCAATGTGGATTTGATACGACCCTTTCCTCCTGCAGTCATCTCCATATTCACGAAACCGACCGCCCACTTTTTCGCTGCGCAAACCTGCCATCTGGGGGGGGGGGTGGGGGGGGGGGGGTATAGTCACTCTGAAACGTAAATATCTCCGAAAATTTCCTTCTATTTCCACCATTTCAACCCATTTTTTACCTATACTCTCGCCCAGCCTACTACCCACGAAATCTTAGTTTCACCTCAATCCCACACGTGATTTCGAGCGACTAAAGTGGGTACGACCCCCCCTCCTACAAACTCAACCAGGTACGACCCCCCCGTTGTTACTCGTAACAACGTAGGGTTGACCCTGGTCTGCGGGGCGGGACAGGTGGGATCTTTGAACAACCTCTGGAGTATGGCCCAATGGAGGGTTGACCCCGCTTGGAACTGTTCAGGTGATTCCACACGCACCACCAGTGACCCTTTCCTATGTGCCACCAGAGACCCTTTCCAGCATCAACATAAAAAATTGGCGCAATAGTCACTTTTCGTATAACTTCGTATAATGTCAATTTTCAGAACAAATGCTTCTCATGTCTGGATGTGTCCACCGAATTGCAGCATACTGTATGGTCATGGTTATTCAAAGCTACCGAAATGCTGCAGGATGTTGGTCATAAATTGTGTCCCAGTCCCATTTTGGGCGAGAAAAAAGGCTCAAAAACGAAAAAGCAGATGGCTGCTTGCGAGGATTACCAAACAATGCTGCAGCGTCTGCGTACAATAAAGGGTGAGTTTAATGGCAGTGCTCAAGGGTAATGAACAAGATCCCTAAAGGCTGAATTTAGTCTTATCACTTCGCCAGCACCTTGTGCGGCGTTCAACGAATATTTCGTGACACCACAGCATCCATGGGGAACGAAGCGATGCTTGTTCGAATGTGTGATGAAAACTGTGGATTTCTCTCATTTGTCTTCGGATTTGAAAAGTGAGCCTTTTATTCCCAAAGGTGGAAGGTCTGGAAAAATTTGTAAAGGGAAGCCAAGTAAGGGAGGCAACGTGTCAGTCAGTAATAGATGGATATTTCCAAGATGCCTTTCATATGATGCCCATTAAAGTAGATCGTGTAGTTGATGAAAAATGGCCACTGGAGTTAGACAGCGGCGCCTACCAATGCTCACATCTTGAAGGCCAGATTTTTAGAATCGTTTATGTCCCGGAAGAAGCTTGCCATCCGTAGAGGTCGTTTAAATGATGGCGTATTGTCTGAGGGATAAAAACACTGACTTGTTTATCGGCTTGCAGTTTGGTAGGTCCAGCCCCCCGTAGCCACTAAAGTGCCAAACCGCATTTGTATGTCATATGATCCTGAATGGTGTTAGAGTGTATGGCGTATCCCAGCAAGCAGACTGATCAATGGCGAATGGTTTATTAATTATCCTTTATAGTTCCAATTTCCTTTTTTATTATTTTATTCGCGGAGATAACTTCATATATGTTCTTACCTGAGAGCAGTCGTTCGACTGAATCACATAGCGCGGTCTTATCCGCAAAAGAATTGTCTTAATTTTAACGAATGGGTGATTTTTTGTAAAGTTATCATTCCAGTTCTTACAAGGAGGGACTGACAAGAGGAGGACCCTCGAAAGCAGTAAGCGCGCTACAAGAGCATAACAATAATGTTGGTACGTGTGGCGTTTGAATGATTCTCATGAAGCTCCTCAAATAGTGTAAGTAGCGTTGGACATCCACTGCGCTACTAATGCTCTAGATTAAGCGCTGGCTTATCGCCTACTGAAGCTGCGTAAGGTAGTGAGGAAAGCTGAGCGCGGAGGAGAGTATGAGGGGAGAGCGCAACTAGTCAGATGGCGTTTGGTTGTAGCTCTTGTTGAATGTGATCTCACAAGCACGGGATGGCAAGTCTGTTATTCCTCTAACCATAGGGGTACCCTGAAGACGCGAAGTATATACGTGTACCACGATCCTCTGAAGTGTGCGCTTCAGTGCAAGCTAAGGGGCTTACCACGCACCCCTCAGCGGGTTAGGGCGATCTCCTGTTACCACTGGCTTCACTATATTAGCTCCACCTCCTTGCTGTAGCACCAACTGCCTTTGATTAATTCATTCTACTCTAGAAAATATTGATCTTGTATTGAAGAATATTTATTTCAGTCCTTCAATGTTGCTCCGAATGGGTTCCCTTTCTGCGGAACACGTGAAGGACTTCAAACAAGGTCTACCAGAAGTGTTGATGGATGAACAATTTCCTGCAAAATTCGAGCACCTTCTCAAAATTGATGCAAATGACCTTGATAATTATGGCAGTGACTTGTTTCTTTACTTGAGGTATAACTCTCAAGTTACCATTTTATACGTTGACATTTGAAGCATGTTTTCTTCTATAGGAAACGCGCCGTGTTCCACAGCTACGAGACAATGCGTTTGGACACCAGCGTTCACGTTCAAGACAACGAATCAGTTCGAGTAAATCCCCTAACCGGGGAAAAAATCCTCAGGATATCTCCTCCGACAAGCGAACTTGTTCAACCAACGCCTCGTCCAGTACCACGTAAGAAGCCATCACTATTTCTTATTTTCTCCGGGTGAACTGATTCCATTTTTGATATGAAGTTAATTAAAAATAAAATCCTACCATATAAAAAATAACCGCTGAGTCTGTCTGTCACGAAATTTGATACTACCTGATGAACCACTGGGTCGAATTTGGGATGAGTGGGTTACGGTTCAATAAGTACAAAACACCTACCAAATGCGCGGAGCTCCACCCCTCACAACATGCGGGGCCCTCGCTGAAATGGGCTGTGGTGGGCGGGGCGTTCTCTGGAGAGGCGACCCACGGTAAACGAACTCATAACTCTGTCGCAAGAAAGCTTATTAAGCAGAAAAAATGGTTTAGGAGAGCGAAGGTGTTCCCAGCATCCTGAGGATGGTGGAGGTCCGCTCCAATGGGCGGAGCGTGTCCATAAATGGACGGCGTTTCCTACAAGTACTCATAATTTGATTCCGAGGAGTGTGAGAGAGCGCAAAAAGAGTGCAGAGGTCGGAGGAGGGGAGGTCAAATGTTAATGGTGGGCGTGGCGCGCATTGTAGTGGGCGGAGTTTGTTACCGAACTTGCAGTCTATGTATCTGAATGATTCTTCTGATTTTTTAAGTGTTCGCTGCCTCGTTATAGGATTGTTATGAAACAGTATGTATTGAAAAGATTCTTCAGAGGCATCTTTTGTGAATCTTCCATCAGTATCGAACGCTTTGCTGTCCCTACTCCAGCAGCAGATGACTTTACCAACAACGGCGTTCACTTCTGGAATATCGAGCGGATTCGACATACGGACCCTTTTGCGAACAATCAAGCTGCCAGAAACAGCTGAGTAAGTCATAATTTTGTTAGGACAAATTGCGACGGAAATCCTGATGACCTTGAGCTCAGAATTCCCGTCGAGCGTCAAACCCTCCTTACACGACCCTCTCTCCAACAGTGTTGCTGAAGCTGACTGAATCTTACTTGACCTGCTCCAATATTCCAACTTCTCCACCAAAATCCAATAAGGTAGTTCCGAAACCTCTTCCAGTGGCCGAGGGAAAGGGACGGGGAAGAAGAGTGTCTACCTACTTAAACAACAAATTCAAATTTCACAACAATTTGGCGAAACTTACCAAGAGCTGCCCATCCACCAACTACGTACCTTTCCCACTCCACTCTTTCAGACACCTCAATGACAACCCATCCTACTAGTGGTTTCTAATAAATATCCTGGATGTCGCGAATATGGCCTACCTCACCGAGCTTGACCCAGCGGACGGTTTACCCTAAACCTCAGAAACATACGATACTTGAGGTCCATATCGAAATGACCGAATAATGGAATACAGTGTGACACAAGTCTAACATAAGCCAAATTCCAAGGCGTTTAAAATTGTTTGGTCGCCAATATCATCAGTTGCATTTGAAGTGAAGTAGCCGAATTAGTCATAGTAGCCTTACTAAGGTATAGATTTCTGGTTGCTCTCTAAGGACCATAGTTTAAGTGTCACCTACAAAGCGTTTTCTAAATACCACTGGTTCCGGATTTCCATCTAAGGCCGATGTCATAGTTTGCGAATCGAGCGATTCGCTAGCGAATCGCTGGATCCGAGCGTTGCGCCAGCGAATCGAACTTTGCACCAGCGAATCGAACGATGTACCAGCGAGTCGAACTAGGTACCAGCGACTCAATAGTGGCGGGACCCAACGTTTAAAGGAAGCCCGCCACTTTCAAACAGTGTCACGTGACAGTGGACGCTGTTTGAAAGTGGCGGGACTTTGCAGTGGACACTGTTTGAAAGTGGCGGGCTTCCTTTAAACGTTGGGTCCCGCCACTATTGAGTCGCTGGTACCTAGTTCGACTCGCTGGTACATCGTTCGACTCGCTGGCGCAAAGTTCGATTCGCTGGTGCAACGTTCGATTCGCTGGCGCAACGCTCGGATCGAGCGATTCGCTAGCGAATCGCTCGATTCGCAAACTATGACATCGCCCTAAGGAGAATAGCATACATTATTTTTTCCTGTACATTATACGATATTACGAGAAATCGGAGTCTGAAGGAGATGAAGAAGGTAGTGAACCTGTGCAGAACTTCGATGTCGAACGAGGTTGTTCTGCGAAATTGGAAAAGTCAAGCGATGATACTCAGTAGATATGGGTGCTTCTATGCCTTAGTTGGCCGGATTCTTTCTAGTCTGTCTTCTGCCTGCGCTGAGATGTCATGATGCACCACATCCGCTATTTCTCCTCATTCTATGTTTGAAAACTGGTTGTCACTATTGATAAATACGTAATTTTTTCAAATTCAACTACTGCCTTTAGAAATGTGCTGCTCTATTCGCTTTCAAGTCGTGCCTTTTCACCGTACAGATCGACTGAATGTATTATTATATTATATGTAATTAAAGGATAAAGGATAAAGCATTTGCCGTTGATCAATCCCTTTTGGGATGCGGCACGCATTCTACTTCCATTTGTACATTCGTAGTGGCGTTTGAATGCGATGTGGCCTATACAATGACTTGCGGGGCCAGCCGATGTTCAAGTCAGTGTTTTTATCCTCCCAGACAAGTCTGGTACCAATTAACCGACCCCGGAGGGATGGAAGGCTTGGTTGGCCCGGGCGACTCACGACTCCAGGAATTCGATCCCCCGAACCGCTCGCGTGGTAACCGCGCCACTTGCCACTACACCACATGCACCTGAATTATATAAATTATCTCAAATTAAATATGTCGCGATAATACAAACAGTTTACTGGTCGGCCGAGACTTGAATGAATAACTACCATTATTTTTCCTATACTTTGTGCAGACATTCGATAACAAGCCTTTGAGAGAGGAAGGCAGTATGGGTTGGAGGTTTGTGGTGCAGTCCGAGGGGAGAAGGTATGGGAATTTGTTTCAGCAGTTACGTATACCTTTCCGCTCCATCCCCACCACCCCCCAGACCCACTGTATGGGGTGGGGCTGGACGTGATAAAATGAATCACTCAATGGCATTGCTGCAAAACCTACACGCTAGAGCAGGAGTGTGGAGGTGATAAGGAAAAGTAGGAATTCTAGAAAAGGGAGAGGGATAATCTTGGCCAAAACTCCCTAAAAAAGCTTACAATGTTACAACGAACTGAAACTTTATTTAATAATTCTTTCACATTAGCACGAGTTCATATTATAGTACATGGTATAAGTTATATTATTAAAACCTGAGTTGAACTGAACAAGATTTCACAAGGCAAATTGCTTTAATTATGAAAACTAGCGATGATTTACGGGACTACAACAACAGAGCTTTTAACACAACAAATCAAGGGAAGAATAAGGTCACGTGAAGGTGATGGGTAGGATTTTGAACACGTATTGAGTGCTTTGATGAGAAACACCGGGAAACATCGAAAGCTTGAGAGGATCTGAGATAAGAGTTGACTTTAGAAGTTCAACGGCATCGTGTCGTCATCAGAATTGTAGTCATGCAATTGTGGTGAGTGCTGAAAACGATGAGTGTAAAATGATTGTTTACTTTCTGCTCCTGCTTTTCACCACGATGTTATGTGAATGTTATAACGTCCAAGCTAACCTATGGGAAAACGACAGCCTCGGGCGGGACTCAAAGTTTAATTAACGCTTTTCAACGGTTGTTCCTACCCACTACGCCATTAGGCCGATGTCAGACTTTGCGAATCGCGCGATTCGCTACTAGCGATTCGCGCGATTCGCTAGCGTCCGCGGTCGCGTTGCGGTACCAGCCAATTGAGTGATTCACTGGCCGCGACGCGACCGCAGACGCTAGCGAATCGCGCGATTCGCAAAGTCTGACATCGGCCTTAGACCCACGTCCCTTTCAGCTCTTAAGATTTATATATTTATTTGTTGGTCAATCACAGAGTGTGACAAACAGAGTGATAAGATAGTATCTTAATTAGATGCTCACTTAACCTTGGCACATTTCAATCCGTTGTTTTTGCCACATATTTTGTCACTAACCAATAATACGAGAATAGTTTAACTATTCCGACATACGACAATTTCTGTGCTCGGAAAAGCTCACTGCTGAATTTGTTACATGAAAAATATCACCTGATCGACAAAAAGATCCATTTCCGGTCATGACGCAGACCTGCAATGGGCAAACTCGGATAAATAGTTATTGGAAATCAATAATAGGGGGCATCCTACTGGACCAAGCTGACGGGCGCGGGCCGACAGACTTTCCGCAGCGCGAATCTTCACTGAGCACCCTGAAGTGTCTATTCTCCGCCAGATCTCGGTCACTCTTCCAATAAAAGAGACTTTCCCGCGTTCAATATCGCACCTGCCAACCCATAATAGCCCCTACACTCTTGCCGATAGCGCCTAGTTATTACTATGAAGCCTTTCAAACCAAAAATTTACTGGCTGATCGTTGCATGCTTTCTTCCTTAACCGATAAGTTAACCTTAATCCTGGACGATACAACCTAACCTGATCATTCTGGCGAATTATTTAAATTCTGTACTTTTATCTCACAGATCTGATGCCAAAAATTGGGCCTTTCCTTTCTTTTCAATTTTTTTTTCAAAATCTGTCTAATTTAAGATTTCCTGTAAGTCTTAGGAACTTACCGCCATGACGACTAGGCACAGAAACATGCTTATTGCTGCCTTAGAGACGAGAAACCAGAAAAACCCGGTGAATCGGTCCACTGAGAAAAATGAATGTGGGGTACACTCGCTTCCTGAAAAAAAATTTTTGGGGAAAAACGGATCAGGTCCTGGAAACGTCCTGCCTTATTCAAAACCTCAGTTCGACTGGTCGAAGCTCAACCCAGAGCAACATGCAAAGACCCCTTTTTTTTTTTGTCTAGAATATTTCCAAGCGAGCCGTGTTGTTGTGAAAGGCAAGAGTTAAATTTTCGGCATTAGTTAACGCATCATCGTGACGCGCCATGCATTCGACTACAACGCAGAAACGATGACGAGTTGAGCATGTGTTTTGGAACATAGAAACATATCATTATTTACGGGTAATCAATAGGATAGAGACCGCGTACAAATGCTGCACCCGGGCGAGTTTGGCACCAATCAAACCAAGGGTATGGGAGACCTGAGAGGCTTTCAAGGAATCCAACTCAGAATTTAGCCTCCCAGCCGTGTAACACCACTTGCTGCTAACAAGGAAGGTCTTTCAGGACATGGAGCGTTTTTTCAAAATGGTTTTCTGAATGTTGTAGAGGCTCATGTGAGGAACACAGAACCATGGTCCATTTTTCCTGAACGCCCCGGAATGTCAAAACAGCGGGGAAGAAATGGTCCAAAGTTCGATCCTCCGTGATGACAAATTTTTGCAATTTATGTTGGCGCCTCCAAATTGCCGCAAAACACGACAATGACATCTATTCTCGACGATGGCGCCATTTGGCGGCAATCTGGGGCGCCAAACTATATTGCAAAAATTAGTCATCACCGGGGATCGAACTCTGGACCATTTCTTCACCACTGTTTTGACATTCCTGGAGGCGTTCAGGAAAAATGGATCATGGTTCTGTGTTCCTCGCATGAGCCTCTACAACATGCAGAAAACCATTTCGAAAAAGCGCTCCATGTCCTGAAAGACCTCCCTTGTAAGCTAATTCTGCAGCGCAACTCTATATTACAGATTTGCAATAAAATCTAGACAAAACTCACACAGCACAGTCCTTGTCATGGTCGTTAAGAACAGTGACGAGAGCTAATGTCATGGCAGCGAGAGCTTTTCCTATCTCTAATGACACATAAATGAGCACGACACCTGAACAAAACCACTGATCAAGCCTAAGCTCTAAATATTGCTACGATAATTTTAATAATCGACCAAGGATCCTTACCTAAGTGTGGTCGGCGGGCGTGGACAATGGAAACAATAAGTGTCATAACTTCTATCACAAAGAACATAAGGAAAGGATAGAATGCGACCGAATCGATGAGGTAGACAAACAGTACCACGCCAACCATGAAGATGACATCGAAGGCCTGAATAATGAAATTTGAGAGCATCCACCGTTAATAGATCCCTTTCTGGTGTGCGCCATGCATGCAATCCACGATGAAAGCTCAGACGCTAACGC